TGAGTATTTGTCCTCTTACCATAGCATTTGGTATGATTAGTCTATTGGCATAAAATACAAACAACATTACCTGCCTTGTTTGAAAGACTTTGAAGTTAGGAGCCATGAATATGGTAAGGGGTAAGAGCCCAGAAAATGGTCACAAAATGCTGGATGAGAATGGAATTGTGTTCGTTTGGAAATAAAGCTCTCTCATGCTATTTGTCCTACTGTCCCTTTCCCTTCATGACTGTTGGATTTTTATCATCTCTATTAGTTTCCTATTGGTGCATGACAAATCATCACGAATTTAGTGGCATAGACAACACCCATTTATGATCTCGAAGTTTCCATGAGTTGGAGGCAGCATGGCTTAGCTGGGTCCTCTGCTCACGGCCTCTCTCACAAGGCTACAATGCAATGGCAGCCAGGACTGTGGTTTCATTGGAGGCTCAGAGACCTCATCCAAGCTTTCATGGTTGTTGGCAGAATTCACTTCCTTGCAGCTTGCTTCTTCAAGGACAGCAGGATCTTCTTTGATCTCAGAAAAGGTCTAAGCCTTCTTTTAAAGAATTCACCTGCTTAGGTCAGACCCACCCAGGAAAATCTCAAAGTCAGCTGATTAGGAACTTGAATTACATCTGCAAAAATTCCTTCATCTTTGCCACACAATGTAATCTATCAAAGGAGTGACGGCCATCAAATTCACATGTCCCATCCACACTCAAGGAGACAGAAGTATACAAGGGTCGTTGGCGGTCATCTTAGAGTTCTGTCTATGACAATTGTATTTTTATACAGAGCCATCATAGGCAAATGAGAAGTAGAAGTAAGCAAAAAAGAAAAATACACTAAACAATTAGAAATACTACCACCTAGAGACAACCTGTCTTAACATGTTGATTTAATCCTCTATACTTTTCCCGTATGAATATTTTTAAAATGGGATTGTGGCATGCATTCTATTCTGTTACTTATTTCACTCAAACAATATTTTCAATACATCTTTCTATAGCCGCAAATAAATGTCTAATGCACCCACTTCAAAGGCTGTAGTATACTCCATTTTTATGAAGCTAGTATAATTTATTTAGGCAGTTCACTATTTGGGGGGAGTGTTAAATAAACTTTTTTATATTTGAACAATTTTAGATTTATAAAAAAATTGTGACTTTAGTACAGAGTTCCCATAAACCTCACACCCAACTACATAATAGTTCCCCTATTATTAACATCTTACATTAGGATGGTACATTTGTTACAACTTATGACTGTATATTGATACATTATTATTAACATGATTATGAATAAAGTCCATACTTTATTCAAATATCCTTGGGTTTTACCTAATGTCTGGCTTCTGTTCCAGGATCCCCTCCAGGATAATATGTTCTATTTAGTTGTCACGTCCACTTAAGGCTCCTCTTGGCTGTGACAGTTTCCCAGAATGTCCTTATCTTTGATGACCTTGATAGTCTTGAGAATCCTAGTCAGGTCTTTTGTGGAATGCCTCTCAGTTGGGAGCTGCCTGATGTTTCTCATGATTAGACTGGGGTTATGTTTGGGTTAAACTGCCATTTTCATCACATCCTGTCACGGGGACACACTATCAACACATCATCCCTCTTGACCTTGATCACCTGGCTGGGGCAGTGTTTGTCATGTTTCTCCTCTGTAAAGTTGCTCCCTTTCTTTCCCCTTTCCATACTGTCCTCCTTGGAAGAAAGTCACTACGTGAAGACCATACTTCCGAAGTGGGGAGTAATACTCCCCCTCCTTGAGGGCAGAGCATCTACATAAATTATTTGAAACTGGAGGCCCAATGCATGAAATTCGGGCATGGGGGTTGGGGGGATCCCTCAGCCCCGGCCTGCGCCCTCTTGCAATCCAGGACTCCTCGGGGGATGTCCGACTGCCTCTCGCAATCCGGGACCACTCACCCCTAATGGCTTGCCTGCCTGCCTGCTCAGTGCGCATCATAGCGACCAGCCGTTTTCGTCATTCCGATCGTTCCACCATAACAGTCACTTAGGCTTTTATATATATAGATGTTTCTGCTTGGGAGACTTGTATTTTCTCTACTTATTTATTTATTAAATCATATCAGTATGGACTTGTGGACATTTATTTTATACTTTGGGTTATAATCCGGCACTGCTTCATTTTATTCCTCACATTGTTGCACTTTTAGCCACTAGGAACCCTTTCATTTGGCTCCTGCCTCGCTCTGACACATTCCTATCATTGGGGGGTTTTGTTTTTGTTTGTTTGTTCCTTTGAGCACTTCTCTACTTTCTTGCCCCAGTCCAAGAATAGAAGTCTACTAAATTTTGACAGTTGGATCCCTTCCAGGTTTTTTTTTTTTTAATTTCTAAAAACTACTGCAATGAACATCCTCAGGACTATATGATTGGACATAATTATCTGATGATTTCATTTGAGTTATAAAAGGCAGAAGATGGAACTTAGACAAGGCCAGTAAAAGGCTTTAGACCAAATCTCTCTCTGTCTAGCCACTTTGGAAAATAGTTTGGCAGTTTCTATAATGTTAAATATACACTTTCCATAGACTGGCAATTCCAATCCTAGATGTTTACCCAAGAGAAATAAAATCATGTCCACCAAAACACCAGTACTAAATGTGCATAGCAGGTTTATATATGAAAGCCCAAAACTGGGACAATCCAAATGTCTACCAACAGGTGAATGTATAAATAAATAGTGGTATAGCCAGACCAATGGAATACTACTCAGCAATAAAAAGAAATAACTATTCATATGTGTAAAACATAGAAGCATCTAAAAATATGCTGAGTGAAAGAAGTCAGACACAAAAGAGTACATTCAAAATCCCATTTATATGAAATTCCAGAACACATATAATTAATCCACATGGACAGAAAACAAATCAGTGCTCACGGTGGGGTGAGATGAGTGGGGGAGATTCCTACAAAGGGGCTCAAGAGAACTTCTGGAATGATGGAAATGCTCTATATCTTAAACGTAGTAGTGAGTACATGGGTTTATACATTAAACTCTTTGAACTGTGCACTTGAAACGGGTTCATTTTATTGTATGTAAATTATACCTCAAAAGAAAGCAACAAAACCAGGTTCCAGATGCAAAAACAAAGCCCTGAGGACAGCGTGGAGAGCAGAGTAGGCAGCAAGGATGTGCTGCTCACTCTAGGCAGGGTTCTCAGGGAAGGAGGCGGGCCTCCTCTGCCCCTCTCACTCACCCTTTGCCAACCAGAGATTCTGATTCTGATTCTGATTCTGATATGTGCCCCTCCCACTCCTCACTGCCAGACAAGAGAAGGGAATCCCTCAGGCTCACTCTGCCGGCCTGGGCTTGGAGAGAATGTAGACACAAAGGATGGACCCGCCATATCCAGTCACCCTGAGACCGGAGGTCCCTGTAACATGTCTGTTTGTTGGGGTGCAAGGGAGGGTCTGGAATATGTTGGGTCCCAGGCAACTTTGCTACAGAACTTGGCCAAAGTGGAGGTACCGTATTATTTGTGCAAATGGGTAGCAGTTTATGCCAAGGCCACTTAGGGTTGGCTGCTGGCCTGAAATTGCCTGGCCAGGGGGGTGAGTCCCAAATCCTGGCACGACCAGCAACAACATGATACCTCAAAGAGGAGGCAGCATTTGGGGTCAGGGGTGCAGGTGCAGGTGCAGGTGACACACAGGAGCAGCTCCTTGGAGGCTGTCAGGGAGACCAAGGTCTGTGGACTCTGGTCTCAAGGAACATGCCTGAGTGTCCCCCTCTACCTGCTGGCAGTAATGGTGAGTGATGACCAGGACCAATTTATGGAAACTTCCAGGGAGCCTGAGCCCTGTGGGGGAGAGTGGGGCATCCGTAAAAGACTACACCTGCTGTCCTTCTGGCAGAGTTTGGGGATCTGAGGCTTTTATGTAACACAAGCGCATTTGTTCCTTCATGAACCTTTGTTGAAGGCCTTCCATGAGTCAGATGCTGTTTTAGTCACTGTAGAGAAACAGTCCCTGGTATCATGGGACTTACCTTCTATGACAGTTACATCCTGTCATTTCACCCGAAGGTTCGTGTTTTGAAGGAAGACAAGAAAGGGGGAAGGAAGGGGGGTGGGGCAGAGCTCCCCTGAGAGCACAGCTCTTTGTACCTGCAGGTTGGAGAAGCCTGGGCCATACTGGCTCCTGGGGAAATTCATAGGGCAATTTGCAGGTCAAAGAGCATAAACATGTTTAGGTGTTTGATAAATATTGCTCAATGATTCTCCAGAAAGCTTCCTAGGTAGCCTTCTTAAAGAAAGGGGAGAAATGCTACCTGTTTTAGTAGTGCTTCTGAGAGTTTAAAAAGTGTGTGTGTTAAGGGGGGTGAGGGCATGTGCTGGGGCGGGGGCGATGGGGGGAAAGGAGACATATGTAATACCTTCATCAATAAATAATTTAAAAAATAAATAAATAAAATAATTTTTTAAATTTATTGGTTAAAAATAATTTTTTAAAAAAAGTTTGTGTTTTAGGGGGTGAGGGGCAATGTCTCTTTTTCCAAGTGTCACCTCAAAACGGATAGTTCAAGCCCATTTCCCACTCATGTCAGACCTAAGATTTAGGAGCTAAACATTCTAGTAGTTGAAACACCGGTCAGAAAGACCTGCACTTACATCCCAGCTCTACCACTGATGGGTTCTCATGCGGCTTTGAACAACTAAACCTCAGTTTTCTCATCTATAAAATGGGCCTCCTAATAACGCCTAGCTCAAAGGGTTAAGAGCGGGTTAGACAATACAGCAGTGAGCAAAAGTAGGTTTGAATTGAACCAGCTCAGGAGGCCATGGGGCTAACCCAGGCAGGTCACTCAAATTCAGCTTTGTTTACTGATTCTCAAAGACTACAAGAATGTGTGAATGATGAAGGCTGGCAGTTTGAGCCCTTACAAGGTGAGCCTGTACCTAAGTGCTCTGTGCCATTGTGACAGTCTTTAAGTTAATAAAGCCACTGTAATAATCCTAACCTGCATGTCTCTTTCCATAGGAACAACTGTAAACCTACTTTTGCCCACCCCTGTATAATTGCGGCCCTTTGCCGAGTACTCAGTGCAGAGGGAGAGGCTGTGATGTTTGTTCTGCGGAGTCGGCAGTACTCGGAGCTCAGGAGCAGCTCCCTAGCACAGGGACAGCGCGGACCCGCGTGAACACAGAGGGCCTAGGCCTGCCCCGTGCCTGCTTCCTGACATCAGCTCCGTCATCGCAGCTCAACTGTTGTCTGCCAGGATTTCCTATCCGAGCGAGGTTCCCTATCCAGGTATGAGTTAACCGGACGTTAAAAAGACCCCACCTGATGTGTGTGTCTGTGTGTGCACATGTAGTTTTTTTTTCTCCTGGAAAGAAACAAGGATTTTTCCACACTCCCCTGAGCAAAACCAGCTGAGCTGAGTTAGCTCAAACTTCTCGAAAACAATTCACCTCTGCCCTTAGACCAGATAGGGAATGTTTCCACCCCAAGGTAGACTCGTGGGAGGAGTGGTGTTAGAAAAACCACAAGTGATTCTGAAGAGGGTCAGCGTGAAATCATCACGAACCCCAATCCCTTCAGCTTAGAATGTGGCAAGTTTTGATTGTTTGCTTGTGTCTTTATTTTATTTTTATTTTTTTGCTTGTGTCCTTTAAAAAAATGCAAGTACAGCCATTATTTTACCTGGAACTCAGACATGGAAGGCTCTACCTCTGCTCTCTCCACATATTTTATACTGTGCGCATCAACCTCTCACATTTGCTCTTGTCTCTGAGTCTAATCATCCCAAGGTCCCTGGACTCAGCAATCACACCTCAGCAGTTCTTCAAACTACACACGGAAAATGTGCTGCTCCCTCATCCTCCCGCTGACCCCCTCCCCACCTCAGGACCAGATGTCTAGAACGAGATGCTAATCTGAAAAGCCCTTCTAGATTGTCGCTGATGTGTGAACCAAGTTATCACCCACCCCACAATACAGGGAGCTTTTCTTAAAGCTAAATGGATTGCATTTTTAACTCATACATGATACCCTTTTTAATTTTTTGTTTTCAAGTATTCTTTTATGAACATTTAGCGAAAATAGATGGTGGTTAGTTGTGTTATTTTTTTATACTGTTCTTACTTGGCAAAACTGAAAATTGGCAAAATAAAAAGTTGGCAACTTATGCACATCAAAATACATTTTGAGATTTTCCTAGCCTATAAATTCCAAAAGTCTGGGAATCACCTGGAAAAGGAGCCAAGTGCATGAATTGAAGGAAATATATATGAACTGGGTACGTGCTGGGCTCATATGCATCATTTCATCTCATCCTTACAACAACGCTGCAGGGAGGGCAATAGCATTTCCATTTGACGGATCCGAGAAGTGGGGCTTTCAGAGGTTGACTTGCCTTCTGGAAGGGAGACGGGAAAGGCCAGGATTTGAACCCAGGCTGTATGAAACCAGACCCAGAGTCTCCCCTTCCACCTCACAATGTCTACTCTTGAACTCACACATACAACGGGAGATTCAGAAAAGCATCTAAAATTGAAGCCGGTGTAGAGCCTTCACAGAAGCCACTGCGAATAAATACATTCATAGATCAAGATCAATCCTTGAGAAAAATACCACATGATCTCACTCATTCATGGATAATAGAGACCATTATAAACTTTTGAACAATAATAGATACAGAGGCAGAGCTGCCTCAAACAGATTATCAAATTGCAGCGGGAAGGCCGGGGAGGGTTGGGGGGCAGGAGGTAGGGGGGTAAGAGATCAACTAAAGGACTTGTATGCATGCATATAAGCATAACCAATGGACATAAGACACTGGGGGATAGGGGAGGCTAGGGGACTGTCTAGGGCGGGGGGATAAAGTGGACACATATGTAATACCCTTTGTAATACTTTAAGCAATAAATTAAAAAAAAATTCTTAAAAAAAAAAAGATCAATCCTTGAGAGATAGATAGGGAAGCTATCAATAAACACAATGGCTGAAAGTATGAAAGTGTTAAGTGCTGAACAATCAGAGACAAGCTGATTCATAATGCAACGGGGCAGGAGCGGATCCTGAGCACATTAACTGCCCTCTTCAGACGCTGAGTCCCCAGAACAGGAACTGGACATGGCAGTGGCTGCCTCATTACCAGATAAATGTAGAGAAAGTGACAGTTTAGGGAAAAACAAGAGTGATTAAGGGATGGAAGAATCCATGAGTAAAGATGAAGAAATAATTACGCACAGCTGGGCTAACATAAATCAAGGATGATCATTCCATCTACAAACGCCAGCAAGGTGAAAAGACTCAAAGAGAAAGATGGGCTATTTAATGTGCATTTAAAAGTGTAGCAAGGGCTGGAATTAAGAGTGTTAAAAGCCGAAAGTCAGGGACAAGTGGACTTGCTGTGAAAAATGATCTCCCAAGGGGAGGTGGCCAAAACCCAGAGGGACTGGACAAAACCCAGTAGGGAGCAGCCGGGCTCTGGGCGACAGGAGGGCGAGATGTGACCTGTTTTCCCTGCTGCCTTCCTCTTACTGCTTCCACATGCCGGCTCCCTCCTCCCCTCACCTCAGGAAGAAGATGGCAATTTGAGGAGGAAAAAACGGTGTCAACAAATATCACTAGGTGTCATAACATCAGCCTGGCTGGGTTTGATTTGGGGACCTGGCAGGAGAGCATTAATTATCCCCAAGAAACCAATCCCACCGGCAGAACCATCCGAGGGACAGGGCAGCCCCTCCCAGCCTCTCCCCTGGAGTCCAGCAGGGTGACCCAGGCTTATTTATCCCAAACCAGCCGTCACAGGATTAACTGCCAGCACTCGAGGGGTTCCCCATGGCTGCAGGCAGACGGAGCTGACATTTGGGCAGAGTTTGGACCTCAGCTACTAGAATCATCTTCTCCTGTGTGTGCTTTTTGAGGAGCCCCTGGAAATGCCTTAGGGGTGCCTGGGCCCTGTTGCCAGAAAAGGGTAGAGGCTCAGAGTTTCTGTCAAACCATGTGGCCCAACCTGTTGTGATGTGCCTCCCTGAGGATGAGGGGACAGGTGAGACAGGAGGCCCAAGGCGTGGGCCTGGGAAGAATCTAGCACTTAGGGATTTGGAAGGAGCAGGTGAAGGGTGGCTCCTTCTTTGAATGCACTGAACACCAAGGAAAAAACAAAAAGCAACAGAGGTGGAAAAGCGTAGACTCCTAGGCGAGCTGGGATTATAAGCCCTCTGGGACCCAAGTTCAAGTGTCTTCCATTGCCACACTTTTGCTGGTGTTCCACAAAGGGTGAGCATCGGCACCACAATTAAATAAGCATAAGAGCCATGAGAAAAAGAGAAAAGCGCTATAAAAAAATGGGACACTGAGGGCAAGCAAGCAGCTAAAAAAGGCACATGGCATAAATTATAAGCTTACTGAGGGCAAGGAATCGGTCTACAGTTCTGTAGCATTGTCTCCCCATGGTGCTCCAAGCATTTAAGGGATAAATGACTCCAGTTACAAAGTCAAACATTTTAAAATAGTGATGACCCCCACGAGGTGTGTTTCAGTCCTTTTTCAATTTCTCTCCTTGGTCTCCTAGTGATTTTTCCCCTCATAAAGGGGCAGCCCAAGTGTATAGTCTGACATGCTTCTCAGAAGGGCCTGTTGGCTTTAAATAAGCGAAAAGGAAGTCATCTAATACCCCAGCTTGGGAACACTGTGTCCAGCCATTGATTATGTGGTCAAGTGGCCTGACTGGAGAGTGGTCGAACCCTGGGCTCTTCATCTCAGGGGCCACCTTTTCACACTTGTACTCATTCACCGAACCAGCGGCCCTCAAACACAGACTGTGGGCAAGGCACGGTGCCGGCCTTTGGGGGAAAAACAAAAATACATAGGACACAAGAAATGGAGGCCCTTGAGGACAGGAGAGGTGTAATATTCCTTTTCAGTATCTCTCAGTATCTACTCCTGGGTAGAGGGACACTGGGAGCCACCATGAGTCATTCACTGCTTCGTATAAATGAAGGCTCAGAAAGAAAGTTAATATAAGAGAGAGAACGAGGGCATGGGTCCACAGAACAAGGGAGAACAGGATCCTGGAGAAGGAGGGGAGTGCCATCCGGGAAGACTAGAGGAACTGAAGACAAGCTACATAACTGTGTTAATTAATTAAACACATACACACAGAAGACAAAACTTACTTGCAAGGCTCCTGACTTAGAATCAAGGATCAAGGATACAAGCCCAGACTCTTGGGGCTATTGTTTGCATACAAGCATAGAGGAGGCAGAGAACTGTGAACAAATATCTATAAAATAGTGTGACAATTGTTACGATAAAGTTAAAGAAAGGGATAATGGATGAAATTTAAAAATGAAATGTGGGTTAGAAAATGTGTTTGTACCCATGCTAAATATCCTGATTTTGACATGTGTATAGTAGCTCTGTAAGAGAACATCTGACATGAGGAAATATACGCTGAAGCATTTCGGGATTTTTTTATAAAAAGGTTTTGTTTCTCTAAAGCATGTGTACAACCCCTGAAGAGCGCAGAGGATGAAAGACTGACTCCGAGGGGTGAGGAAGGGAAGGAGGGGAGAGAGAGAGGCTTCACCAAGGATTTGAGTCCATGTGAAAAACAGAGAAGGAGCTCATGAGAGTAAGAGGGGTGAGGGGAGGACATGCTAGGAAAAGGTAGCAGCAGTTCAAAGGTGTGGCATAAAGTGCAGAGGCGCATGGCTCACCTGGAACCTTAAAGAGGGAGGCCGATCTAGAGCTTCCAACGTGTGAGGAGGAAGGTGGATGAAAACACAGTTGGGATAAGATTCTGAAGGGACTTTGGGCTAGTGTAGGGCAGGCTCTACCATTGGGAAGTCAAAAGAAATTTCTGCACAGACACAATTCTTATCTGCAAAACAACCTATTGTCTATCTTGTAAGATGGAGTGTATGCGTGTAATGCATTCCATAAAAGGCTCAAGACATTCTGAAGGATCAATTTTTAAAATCAGGGTCCACTGAGCCAAGAAGAGCTCACAATTGGATTGGGTAAACTCGGTTCCACAAATGTCTATGAGCCACTACTCTGTGCAGGTGGTAGGCTGGACCCTGGGGATAGAGAGACAAAAAGATGTGGTCTCTACACTAAAAGTAGATCACAGGCTGGTAGCTAGAAGAGTTTCTTCGACAACGTGAGTTTTCAGTGGGAGAAAGGGAACCAGCCAGGCCTCCTGGGGCTTGGCTTCTTCAGGTCTATCGCTGACCTCCAGGGGCCTCTGCTATGGTTGGTACTCAGGCATCAGTGCATTGATGGTAGAAGGGAAGGCCACGATATAATTCAGAATTATCTCTAAATTGGACATAATTGACCTCTGCTTAGCCACAATGACAAATCTGTTAGAGGACTATAAAGAAATTAAAACAGTCAAGAAAATTAGAGGCCAATCACTGAAATGCAAAAATCCTAGAAATTGAATTCATTGTATAAAAATTATATTGCATCATGATCAAGTTGGGGTGATCCTTGGAATGCAAGAGTGATTTAACATTAGAAAAAATCTATTAATGTAATTCACCACATTAATAGATAAAGGAGAAAAACTATGATTACTAAATAATTGTAGAAAAAATTACCTCTAATTCATAATGATATTTCTTACCTGGTAAAGTGTTTTTACCAAATGATTACAGCAAACATCATTTTTCAAGGTGAAATGTTTGAAGCACCAATTTCAAATTCAGGAACAAGACGAAAATGTCCACATCAATTCTTCTTTTCAGCATTGAGGTCCTACCCAGTGCAATATGAAAAGGGGAAAAAAGTCTAAGTTTTGGAAAGAGAAACAAGACTGACATCATTATAGATAATATAATTGTTTACTTAGAAAACACAAAATATAGATAAACTGCTGGAATTAATTTTTTAAATTTTAACAAGGTGGGTGGATAATATAAATTGATTGCATTTCTATACTCCACCAGTACATAGTTAGAAAGCATATTTTTTAAAGATGCCAATTATAATAGCAACCAAAATTAAGATACTTCTGGGAAAACATGATGTAAGGTGTGGAAGACCTTTATAAAGAAAAAAGTTAACTTTACTGAAAGACATTACATAAGATTTAAGTAAATGGGAGAGATAAGCCACGTTTGTGGATAAAAAGTCATAATATGACAATAATGCCAATTCTCTTCGAACTGAAGTATACAATCAACCCAGGTCCATATATCTCAAGAGACTATTTCAAGTAACTTGACAAGCTAATTCTAAAATTTATATGGAGGGGTAGAGTCCTAAGAATAGCCGATATATTCCTGAAAAAAGGGAATAAGATGGAAGGACCTTCTATTTTACATAAAAACATAATATAAAACCATAATAAACAGTATAGTGTGGCATAGGTACAGGGACAGACAAATTGACCAATGGAATTGAATAGAATATCTCAATGCAGACCTAGAGTAATATGGAAACCTGATTTATGACAGAGATGGCAAAAGCAAATCCCCAGAAAAAGGATAGACTACCCAATAAATGGCACCCACAATTTGTTATTTGTATAGGAAAAAACAATATCCAAAAAGTAAATTCTGTGTGAACTGAAAGCAAAATGTACAAGGTAACACTTTTAAAATTTTAGAAGAAAATATAGAATTTCTTGATGGTATCAGGAGAGAG